GACTTTCAAATAATTTTTCAAGGTCAAACCAATGGTATCATCTTATGGTCCCTTCGAAACCAAACAACTTTTGTCTGAAAAATTTTTCTCTCCCGGGCTTGATTTTCGAGATATTCGACTAGATGGATTAAAATGGTCCACCCTGTATACATGTATACATATTAATAAAATTTCCTCATTAATCTTACGCAACCATAAAAAAATCAGTCAAAAACAGTTCTCGATCGAGAATTATGTTTTCTGTTTTTGTCTATTTTATATATGATTGCATTATCTTTATTTTATTATCCTTCTTCATCGATCGTAAATTATATAATTCAAACAATACTTATGTGAGCCTTCTTTTTTTAGGCATTTCGCTACGAAGTTCGTTCATTGAATATTCTTTCTTTTTATTTTAGAGTATAAAGTACCTATATTAGTTTATTACTTATTGATGGATAAAGCAGTCATGATTCAGCGTCAAAAATTTTTTTAAGACAAAGTTTCGAATTGAAGTAACATACCGAACATTCGTTCTATTTAATGTCAAAAACTGAATTTGAATGGAATGAAATGTCTACTAATATTTGTTCACCACACTGCCGAAACCAATACATTTAATTGTTCTGATCTTATCATTTCATTATTGTTGTTTATGATAATTACATATGCACTTATTGAACATTTCAAATGGATAACTTGTACAATAGAGACCGACTCGTGATAACGTCGTAAACGATTCTACTAATACTAAAAAAGCGCCGATCGTGATAAAATAATAAGGGAAAAATGCATTCGCAACTTAACAGATTTGCATAGAGACGAAATAAGACGTATGCGCAAACGCAGCGGTCGCTTGAATAGAATATCAAACATTAAACGCAAGTATAAATTAGTATAAACTCGACAATTGAAAACTTTTAAGTTACATCTCAAAGAGGAATCGGAATTGATTTATAATTTAACAATTATTTTTAATTTTAGCATATATACATATATACAGGGTGATTCAGAATAAGTATAGTGTCCTTAAACATACGTATTCCTGACCGTATTCTGAGACGATTTTTCCTTTGGCAAAAATTTGTGCGGAGCTTAGTTTTCAAGTAATAAAGAGAAATAGTTAGCGAATTACGGGCCGCATACGGAAGGTAGACAGGGGCGGCGCAACTTACTGTCCGACGGCAGGCGATACGCGAGACCCTCGTGACGATTAGCTGACTACACGCGCGCATAAACATGCGTTTACATTTTCTCTCTCTCTTTTTTTCGCACGCACGCACGCACGCACGCACGCACGCACGCACGCACGCACGCACGCCCGCACGCACGCACGCACGCACGCACGCACGCACGCACGCACGCACGCACGCACGCACACACGCACACACACACACACACACACATGGTATAATAAGCACACTTGTACATAAAAACCAATCGCGCTGTAAATAGTCTAATAAATTAAGTTTCATCAATATTCTGCGAGTGGACCACATCAATAAGATCCTTCTCCGTAGCGTTATCATCCTCCAAGAACACGCGTGGGGGACAGCGAATACACTTACAAAAGAAACGCGAAACGTACGATCCGAGCGACGAGACCGCGCAACGTTGGTCCGGAGCACGAGCTCTCGGTGCATCCACCGCAACTCTCACATCTTCGTTCACGAATCTACCGCCACACTGAGTATGAAAAGGCACTTTTAGTATTTCGAAAAACTGCCATATATATTCGTTCAATTTACATGACCTTTTTAAGGTCGGTATTCATAGTCGGTTTTCATATTTTAGATCACCTTAAATAATCTTAGGGCGAATTTACATTAGATGTAGAAAAGTAGAATGCGGAAAAGTAAAAACTGTAGAAATATCAATCAGAAGTTTATTAGAAAAAATTTTTTTAAAGAATTTAACATTTACTTTTTACATACTAATAAAATTATAACGCAAAAGTGGTATGTAAAGTAACAGAATAGCAGGAAAGCGGAAAGCAGCAGTTTTGTTTTCCACATTCTGCTTTTTCGCTCCTAATGTGAATTCTCCCTTAAGATATCGTAAGCCAATCATAGAATCGTATTAGCATCTTAAGATATTACTTAAAATGATCTTTAAATAAGAACGGACTATGAATATGGGTTTAAGAGTAAAATTATTTATTATTTATAAGTTTTATAAGTAAAAATGTTGTATACATATATGGTGGTTAATTTAAAATTACTGTTAATTATATTGATATGTACCGGAACATTATTATTTATTAATATATGTAACAAGTATATAGAAATGTGAATAGAAGAATAAATAATATCATGTTTAAATATAATAAATATATATATATGCAGGATGTCCCGTACTCAATGGTACAGCGCTTGTGGGGAGGTAGTGTGGACCAAACTGAACAAAAAAGTCCTCTACCATTTTGCGATCTTCGCAATAGTTTTCGAGATATTAATATATAAAGCTCGTCGAATCTGAACGCGCGGCGCGATACGCCCGCCCGCCGCGGACCGCGGTCACCTCCCCCGCGCGTCTAGTTG